TTTCATTTTTACATTTCAAATACAAAAGTTGTCAAGGAAGTTCTTTTTTTTTTCTTTTTTTTTTTTCCGGGGAATACACCGATATGAAAATTTTGGCTAACATTGATACTCAAATAATAAAAAATAAAAAAATAAAAAATGACCAAACAAATACCAGATGAACTTCCTCCTCTTCCCTTCCAGAAAAAAAACGGCAACAAGATTGAAGCATCAGCCCAGTTTTATTTATCGGAACGGTACTAACATCTTAAAAATGACTGATATCAAACAACATCAACGTTACACTGTGCTGAAATATTGTAGAAATATTTTCGCATTTCTACACTTTTATCACTTTATACAAATATATATTGTAACTCTAGGAGACGTTTGTTCTGCATGTGTGCCACGTGCATGAATTTGGTTTGTTTGAATGGGGATAAACGCAGTAAAGCATTTGTCAGTTTTCTGTGTTTATAAACACAAATAAGCCAGGCTAATATTGAGTGTAGTTAAAACAACTTCGTAAACTTGTTGCTCGTTTTGATTTATTAAAGCCTAATTTAATGTAATTAGTGTACCAGGAGAGACGGACTCTACTTGCCGTGATTCAAAATGATTCCCATCTGTTCCATTTCTGCCCGCACTTATACTGATGCAGTACGACTGATCTCATACATACTGCTATTCTGCAACCTATCTGCTACTTACATGAGGTCTGTAGGCTGCAAACATCAATGTTTTAAACAACAGCGTCACTTGCTCACATTTAGGTCCTAATATGTGCTGATTCTACGTTGGATCTTTTTTTACACTGTGACATTTGTGTATCTATTGTTCTAGTCAAAGCAATCTCAAAGCTTTTTGCACTAGACCCAAATTTACCCGATTACACTCACTAATACACGCCAATATGCAGGCTAGTAGGAAACTGTTAGGTAGAGACTAGCCTAGTTGCACACTGGCATCTGGCAGAGGAGCATGAAATCAAACTCACTTTTCAATGACTCAACTTAGCCAATTAAGAAGTGAAATAAGCAAGATTATTGAAAATAACGAATTAATTTATGCTCTACGACGGTAGAGATCAAATCTGTTTTGGTAAGTTAATGACTGGTTCCTGCAGCCCTGTTTGAAGTGTTGCTGAAGTTGTATTGCTGCTCTCCACAGAGCCTCAAACAGTTCAGTAAATGGAGATAAAGACATGTCAACAAGTAAGATGAAAGGCGATAAGATTGCTCTAAATTTAGGAGCATTTTGCTCAAAGGATTCAGCATTCGTTGGATTCAAGTTGCGCTTCCATCTTATAGGCATGCACTTGGCAAAAACATGCCACTTTGAAATGCTTATGTTTGCTTCTGACTAAATTTGGCATCAGAAATGAGCGCGTCTCTGTGTGTGCATTAGCTGGGGAGGGTGTTTGAATGTGTTTTGCAAAAATGCCAAAGTGGTGCCATTTTCTGTCTGTAATCAACCAGAGATTTTTGTTTGACAATTTAGTCCTCGGTCGCTTATCTGCTAATCTCAATTTTATCATTAAGTCCCCTCTCTGGGGGAGGCAGGAAAAAAATACCTCATCATCTAAAAAGCATTCTAGATTTCACCAATTTGCCCTGTTTTGTATTATTGTTGTATTGCTGCTTTATGCTTTATGACTAAAAAGCATGGCTCGGTTATGTGCTCTGATTTTGTCAGCGTTTAAATTGGGCTATGAAATGGAAACCAGAGCGTTGTTTTGTTGGATGTGTGTTTAAAGGGTCAATATTATCCAAAAATCTTAGACGCCTCAATTGGCCGCCTCACCGTCAGTACACACGTGTTGAAACCATTTTTAATTTTCACCCTAGGCGGACGATGGCTACGAATGAGTACATTTACGTTGCCATTTACAAAATGGATTTTCCCCATTAGGCTCATCTTGAAACACTTATCGCCCCACCTGCACGTATCTGATATTGATTTGTAAATAACTTTGTAAAAAATAATTCCTTTGGCAGGTGGCCGAGGTAAGATATTCTCTGTGCATGCGGCTTTATTAATGAGGTGTGGTGTTACCATTTTCAAAATGCCACTCTCAACTGCTGCAACGGTAAATCAATTTCCAAACCCAAAGGTCAGCATTGTAGAGAGAGGAGGACGAAGAGGGGGAGGCCAATGGGGCCATTTGTTATTCCTCATTAGAATGGATCAGTCCACTTCTTCCCCCCGCCTGCTGTTATCTCGCCATCTCCGTTGCTCCCTTTCTCTTTCTTCTTTCTCTTTCTAAGTTGTCTTCTCTCTCCTTCTCTCCACCTTCTTTTCTCCTCCCTCCGTGGGAATTAAATGGCACAGAAGAGGCCTGTCGCTTCAAAATGTCACCCTGGAAAACAAGGACCCACTCAAGCTTGTATTTTTCCAATATTCCACCAGCTTACCTCCTTTTTAGTAATGTACATAAGAGCGTGCGATTTCCTTTCTGCCGCCCTCCGAGCTCCTCTGGTTGCCCTCCGCTGTGTAACTCTTGTCGTTGGGCTCAATTGGTTCAGCCGCTGCAAAAACACCATTACATATTCAACGTGCAAAGCAATAGGTTAGTGTCTCCGATTTGCTTTCTCACGGCATAGCTTGACGTTGTTTTGGTCTCAATGTGCTGCCGTGTATAATTAGAGTTGATAAAGCAGACAAATGGCTCCAATCTGATTTACTGTCAATGGTGCCAGCACTGACGTTTTTTTTTTTTTTTTAATCCAGGTGAAGCGCTTGGAATGGTTCAGTGTGGCACCAAACCACCAACATTCACAGATACTGTTTATCTCTTTCTCCCTGTTGGGCTGCTGTGTGCTAAAAAGCATAATTTCTCATCTGCTTAGACAGAGTGAAGGTGCAGCTCAATGAATGTTAATATGATTGAGAAAAAATTGTTTTTTTACAAATCAATTTAAAAAGTAAAACGTCAGCAATATATTTCTAGCCTTGACACTATATCACATAACTCAGTTGGTCCGATCGATAGCTTCCATGGACACAGGTGAATAACATCTAACACTTCTATGAAAATAACAGGTCGCTATCAGGAGCTCAGGGAGTTTCGTTGGAACGCTGTGCGATAAATGCAGAACGGAATCTGTCCACCAACAAGTTGTGGATTTTCCTCATTGCTAAATATTCCCCAGTAAATGATTATTGGCATTTTAACAAAGCTTAATCAGTTGGGAATGGCAGAATCTCAGTGGGAGTTTAGGATTAATCATCTGTCTGCACAGTCAGAAGACATCCAAACCTCATGTAATCTTTAATTTAGGCTGATGAACAGTCAGCTGAGAGAATGAGGTTTTCCAGGCTGAGCAGCTGCATCCAAGCCATCATCGAGTACAGCCTTGGATGCAATGGGATAAAACGTTGGAGATGGATCATTCTTGCCTCTCTTGCCTCGTGATCTATTGGTTGAGTCTGGGTTCAGCAGTTGCTAAGATGGTGCCGAGTCTAACGTTTTATGCAGATGGCAGTAATGGGTGTGGCTTTTATTTGTAGGAAACAGTCATTTATTTTGAACTAGTTTAATGCTTTCAGCATACCAAATTATTTTAGTCATGACCTTAACCTTTAGTCCTTGAAACCCAATAAAACATTTAATGGTCAAATAACTGTGTTAGACCTCACAAATGTAATATTGTTAAAAAAAAAGTGCACAGCTTTTACAGAACAGCTGTAATGGCTGCAAAGAGCAGAGTGACATCATTGTAAACCCTCACTTTCATATCTGTATAGAGGCAGACAGCCTTTATCAGTATAACATATACAATTTTCACTTTCTGAATGTCTAGAATGAATTCACTCCTCAAAATATTCAACTTACTTTAGATTCATCTGAAGCCCCCCCCTCCATCTTTCTTTCCCTTCTCTCCATCACTCTCCTCCCTTCAGTAAACAGTTACTGCCAGTTATCTCCTGATGAAAAAGAGTGGACTTGTTCTGTTCCACTCGAGAACTGCTGCATCCTTTACCACCCGGGGTCCCCTCTGGCTGAGGCCACAGTGCTAGCTCAGCCATGTGTAGCCAAGTTGTCTGCCTGGTGCATGCTTGAGCCGGCCGCGGAGGGAAATGCATTTGAAGATCCTCAGCAGTGTCACTGACTGATGTTCAGGGATAGTCCTTGCCTTTTCAAGTAGCAGTGCTGTAATGATTCCCGACGACAGCCTGACTGGCGACAGGACCCTCTGGACCACTTTGCCAGTGACATTAAAAAGTCCAGGTACACTCTATAGAAGGATCAAGGGCAGGAACAATGAGTGCTGCCACACTTAAATTGACATAACTATAAAAAGGAAGCAGGTTCCAAAGCTTCTAAAGGTCAGAAGAGCACAGGGAAGAGAAGAACTTTGTTCAGCCTGTGCTATTAGTAAGTGTATGGCTGCCTTTGAAGAAGGGTGCATTTATTCCTGTTGATCTTATTCTTATATTGTGTAATTTCATTTCATTATTTTCTTATGTTGTCTTTTCTTTTTAGAATGGACCTCCCTCTGTGTCTGAGATAAAGATATGATTGATTGGTTAAACAAACAATGTTTTGTGCTGTTGCATTTTGTTTTCCAACACCAGCTGATTTTTTTTTTTTTTGTCAGTACAAACAGCCTCCAGCGCTCAAGATTTGTGACTGATTCTTCTAAGATTTCATCAGCAAAGTCTTAATTAACAATTAACAGTCTTAATTAAAATTGTTGTCAAAGACCGAAATTGACTCTACACATTTGTCAGAATGAACGCAGAGGTCAGACGAGATAAATGCAAACTGCACAGCTATTTTTGTTCTTTAATGTGTGATATTGTTGTTGTGCTATATTGGTGATTAGATTTCTTATAAGAAAATATTCAAAAATTCATGTCAAAAAAGGGTAGCGTAAGTAGTAAATAAAGAAAAAAATAAACTATCAGAAGGAAACTATCTACTGAGTTCTACTGGATAAAAACTAAACATTCAGATATTACAAAACAATTTTATATGCAATCAATAAAACTGGTACAGAGGCTCAAAGCTTCAAGTGAAAACGCTGTTTCTAGAAAAAAAAAAAAGGTTTCTGCAAGGCCTTAAAAAAGTCCTAAAATATCTCAAAGTTTTCAGCATCGTTAAGTAAACTCTGCTCTCAGAATAATTGCTTTAAGTGTCGTGAGACTGCGAGTGCAAAAACAAGAAAAATGATGCATGTCGCAGGGTTGAAGTCAGGTCAAGTCTATTTGTGTAGCATGTTTCCGTTCACTGTGCTTCATATGATGGAAACAAAACAAGAAAACAAAACAGAAACTTTGCATTACAGTGTCAGCATAAAGAGAAGTAATGAAAAGTTGTAATCTAGACTAGAATTAATCTGTGCTCCCGTCGTTATTAATCAAAGGTAACTCCAAACACTCCAAACTCCAAGCTTTGCAGTTTTCTGGAGTTTTTTTAAAATTTTTTATTAGATTAGAGGAACATAAAAACTGAACGCTGCTTCTCAGTACATTTCAACTAAGAGAGCTCTGATTCAACAACACATGTGTTTAATGTATGTCAATGCTGAGCCATCCTCCAGCTTTTACATTGTTTTATATCAGTGATGATCAAAAGACTATACAAAATAACTGATAAACGCAAAGATTTTTATTTTTTTTTTCAATTGTGAATTCACTATATTACCTCCAGAAAACTCTAATAGGAGATGATGTAAACACCAAAGTAAAACTTCCACCACTGAGGTATTTCCTAAAACTTTTCTGAATATTGGAGCTTTGTCATTTGCGAATACATAAAGCTGTTTTAAAAACTAATTTATGCATCTCTCCCTTCAGCAGGACAGAGTTCAGGTGAATAACGGAGTGCTGACAATCAACAACTTGAATCTGGCTGACATTGGGATGTACCAGTGTGTGGCGGAGAACAAGCATGGCCGCATCTTCACCAATGCTGAGCTCAGAGTCATTGGTAAGAGCATTGGCAGCACATTTGTTGTGCACGTCAACCATTCTACATCTGGGTCGTCGATATAACTTTACCTAAACCATTTTTCCTGCATGAATCAAAGCTATATTCTTGGCTTACGTTTATGTCTAAGCTCACATGGCACTTCTAATTTTCTGTTTTTGTTTTATACATAGAGTTTACAGACAGTTGTAACTTAAAAAAGAAGAAGAAAAAAACTGCATCAACTTTACATTTTTAACAAATACATATAAATCCTCTACTTTGGGCACTGAGAGAGAAGGCAGCTGCTCTCCGCTAATTCTGAGTTTTCTCATTTTAAGTCTATTTTCAGATGTGTCATGTGCTGCATATCTTGATGCTGCTGTTACATCTTAATTTCCACTCTTAAGGGACAATAAAGGCTATCCATTTCTAAATTATTCTTTCCATGGGTGTTTCTAGCTTTTTGGGGGCACTGTGAAAGATCAAATTAGAAGCCCCCCTTTTTCATACTGCTGAGGAGTAAAGGGATTAGATCCTAACCAGAACTCGTTTGAGACCACAACAATCTTATGTAGACTAGTCATCTGTTTGACATGTGCCACACCACGCCGTGCATAACCTTGGCTAGCAAACCCAACTCCTGAGCTAGAGTGAATGTCTACATGTTGGGGTTAACAATGGAGTACTTCAGACAGTTGTAACACATAAAAAAGCCATTAAAGATCATTGGCGAGGATGAGGATTCTGCCCATAAATATTATATCGTCACCAAATTAATGATTGCAGAGTTGTCCTCATGACAGCTGTTGACGTCCAACTGAAGGAACTATAGCTGGAGACTCACATGGCCTCTTGTCAGCACCGGCCTGTAAATCTGTAAAATTAAGGACACTTCAACGCTCATAGTATGTCTAATCATATTTGTCTGGCCGGCTACCGTCCAGTGTTTGGTTTTTCTCAAAGCTAGCATGTAGGCTGTATCCGTCAGAGCAAGATAATATCCAGCAAAAGAGGCCCTCCGGTGCCATCAGTGCAGGTCAAGAGTGACTTATAGGCCAAATTTCCCAGAAGCCTAATCTACACAAAAAGCTCCAAACATGGCTTGTTTAAATTCAGATCCTCAACTTCCCTTGGAAAATGGGAGGTGAGTTCAGGATGTTTCTAACAGGATCTACTGCCAAATGTTCCCACTTAGCTCTGTGACGGATCTCTTATTTGTCACAGAGCCAAAATGTTGTTGCTCTCAATCAATTAAATTTCCCCCGTTTTCCAAATTAAGAAATATCCTATAATACTAAGGCTGATAAACACATTTCTTGAATGTGCCATCTCAATTAGACATTTCCATTAGAACCCTCAATGAAAGGAGCATATATTTGTTAATCGGTGCTAAAATACTTTGTGATAACATCTCGTTTTAATTGTAATTCAATGAAAAATATAGGCACATTAATTTAAAAAGCTGTTCGACTGTTTGACTGACTAAAACGTGGGTTCGAAAACAGATCCATATAATCAGAAAAAGTTCATATGGCTACTTCAACAAGCAGAGTGAGAAACATATCAGCTTTTATTTTTTACTGTGTAGATATTTTCTATGCAAATGGCATTTGAGGTATTTAATCAAAGCAGCATTTTTTCACATGCTGATAAAATAATCACTTCATGTTTTCATTGATGCAGTCTCAGTCGTTAGCAGCGGCAGTATGACACCGAGGTTTTTGGGATGGAAAAAATTAGGAGTAAGAGCTACTTCTCTTCCTTGTACTGCTGGTTTGTTAGAGTGAAAACAGAACTGACTGGCAAGTCAACCTTCTTGTTTATAGGAATTATTTCTATTCAACTAATTACAAACATAACATGCTTTATCTCTAGTCAATCAACTAAGTCCTTTCACTTTAGTCATTGAAAACATAATTAGTTTAAAACCTTAAAAATCCTTCTCCTGTAATCATATAGCTAACTTAAGTCTTCTTTCTGACTTTAAACGAGTAAAAAAAATAAAAATAAAAAAAAATAACGTCACGTTTGCATTTCCTATGCAGTGTCAAATAATGACATTTGATGCAGCATGTGCACCGTGTCGCTGATGCCACACTGTGTTCTCTTTAAAGAGCTTTTTGCTGAGTCGGTGCACGTCTAAAACAGCTTCAGATTGTGGTGCATTAGTAATTAGGGGCCTAAAGAAGCAGCAACAAAGCCTTAGCCTTGTTTAACATTCTCTCATTTTAGCTTTTACAGCCCCCAAAGCTCAACTCTCAATGCATAATGTCCTTCTAAAAAAGATCCGCGCAACTAAAATCAAAGGAAATGCACCCTTGAAAATTACGTACCGTGATTCATTTATGAGTGTGTCTCTGGGTGTGTGCAAACAAGAGCATGAGCGTTCAGAGAGAGCAGGATGCGAGTGCTGCTGACCCGCCTAATGGATAGAGTGACCTTCACATCTTAGGAAACTCCTCAGTGCTCTTCCTCGGTCGCTCCGTTTCCATTTTCTTTTCTTTCTCTTTTGCCTCAATCAATAAATTTAACCTTCCTCCCCGGTCTGCAGCTATTGCTCCCGACTTCTCCCAAAACCTGTTGAAGACACAAACGTTGGCCCGACAGGGCGGCGATGTCCTGATCGAATGCAGGCCCAGGATGTCTCCTCGCGGCGTGATTTCATGGAGGAAGGGGAACGAAGCCCTGCGCGAGAGCCACAGGTACCAGGTTACTTTCTTTGCCGCTGTCGGTTGAGTTTGTCTGTTCTACAAGCGGAGGAAGATTTAAAAGTCTTATTTAATTTCATCCTACTTGATATTCATGCTGACAAACTGTGAAGAACAGAATCACAGTGTGACACAATATAATTTGCATTGCATAACAGGGTCCGCTCTTCACTCCCTTCCCCGTTATCTGCATTTCTTTCTTGGGCTCTGTTGTACTTTCCTCCTCTGGCTGGTCTATGCTCTGTTTGTTTAAGGTAATTGGGTGTTTCTAGACTGCAGCATTCAGATCGATGTGCCGATCCATCAGCTCATTAGCAGTATGTAAGGCCCAGAGGGTCGTTAGAGCACAAGGCAACCGGTAATACAGACCACCAGCAAGACGTGGAGGAAGGGGATCAAATGGCCCAAAAGGACTTATCAATGGGTTGCTGCTGTGCTCACGTTCTTTTGTCATGGCGGTGGGAACACCAGGGGAATGCGCCGGACACCTTGTTTCATTAGACATCGTGTTAAAGAAAAATCAATGCAGCGCCTCCATGAGCTAAGAGAAGATAGGAAAGGACAAGAAACTGTTAATCAGGCAGAGAAAACCGTTCCTTGTCTGAAAGCAAAATTGTGTTCTAGGTATCAAAGATTGGCAACTGGTCAGATCTATGGTGTTCATGCTCACATTGCAGTAGAAAGGTTTTCATTTGCATTCGTAAAACTGAAGCTTGAAATGTGATCAAACTCTGGATGTGATCACATAATATATATATATATATATATATATATATATATATATATATAATAATCTTATATATATCTTTATAATCAGGATTATTATTTGTGGTTTCATAATTTATCAATTTTATCAGCATTTTTGTAAAATGTTCTTCACATATGCACAATGTGTTATAAGCTGAAGACAGTTCTAAGAACGGAGTCAGTGGCGCAAAAAGTGGGTATGCAGCGCATGCAACGCATAGGGGCGCAGCACCAGAGGGGGCGTCAAAACCCCGTCTGGAGGGGGCGGCGCGCCGATTGTTTTCCCATACACTTCAGCGTGCCTTACGCTCCTTCACCTCGCACACTTTATGAGGTAAATGTAGCGAGTTTCACCCTTCACGTAACTTTGTCGCGGCGGGGGGGGGGGGGGGGGGGGGGGGGGGGGGGGGGGGGAGGAGCGCTCGATGTGTTTTCCCGCC